TCTCTTCAGTGAAATGGGGACACTCTAAAACAGGGGTTCTCCACCTTCCTAATGCCGTGACCCTTTCATACAGGTCCTCATGTTGTGGTGACCCTCCTCCCTCAACCATAACATTATTTTCATTGCTACTTCATCCCTGTCATTTTGCTACTGTTTGACTCTGGCAACCCCAAAGGGGTCATGACCCGCAGGTTGAGAACCACTGCTCTAAGCCCTTATCCCACTGCAAGAACTCGGCTACTTGCTCTTAGGAGATAAATGCAGCTCTCAGCTGTCACTTCAGGAGACTGCGTTGTCCCCTGCTGTTGGGTTGGCTGACACGCACCTTGGCCATGTTGGAAAGGTACGTCTTTCTTCGTAGTCTTTTGACAAACACAGTCCCTTCTGAGTAGAACAATGCACAGGGCTATTCCTGATGCGATAACGTCAAACTCTTATGAATGACAGAGGAGAAAAGGGGGCCCACATGGGCGAATGATGGAGAAGAAAGGGGGCCAGGGTCACTTCCTTCCACAAAGGAGGCCTCCTGGTCACAGAGTCTCAGTAAGCTCACCCACACTCTTGCTGTCTGCCAACCCATTCCTGAACAGCTAGCCAAATTGTGGCAGAAACCATTTGATGGAAATGTCCCCATGCCCATCAAAAGCATATGGTCCTAGCATGTGACATGGGTGCCCCAGGGCGTTTAAGATGATGATTTCCTGGTAACCCTGAACACCCTTGAGGTCGTCGTCATCGTCTCTCTTGCACACTCCTTGAAAAATATCCAAGGTCAGGGCAGGATGGAAACAGAGGCCAAACCAACAACACAGAACAAGGGGGGAGTTCGAAAAGCTTGAGAAGAAATGGATTGGAGAGACAATGGAGTTTTCCCAGACACCTTTGGAAGCCTGCTCACACCGAGCAGTGGCTGCTGAATGGACCCTGGCTCCCGGGGCCCCTGTGTGTCAGCACACAACTGTGCACCACGTGGTTTCCCATGGCTGACACGGGGCAGGGGTCACCAGATCTTTCCCACAGGGCATCTCTGTGTAGACTCAGCCCTCTCTCCTGTCTGGCCGGAGAGCTGCGTGCTCACTGTGTGTGCCCCTCAGGGACCGCCGAGGACGACGATTAGAAACCAGAAGAAAGAACACGTCAGGCATGAGGGTGTGCTTCTCTGAAGCGGAGCTGTCCGTTCTTTGACAAACATTCCCAAGGACAGGGTAGAACTGCTTCAGTGGGATTCTGAGACTGTAACTCTTCACGGGAGTAGAAACACCCATTTTTCTCCCACAGAGCGGCTGGTGGTTTCAAACTGCTGAGCTGCATTGAGCAGGCCAAAGCATAACCAATGTGCCACCAGGGCACCTCTAGGACAGGCCACCAGATATGCCAATCACTGTGGGAGCCAGGGAAGAGGAGCTGCTGGGCTGAGGCCTGGGGAAGTCCATTGGGAAAAGATATCAGGCAGGCTTCTTTTAAGAGGAACTAGCCAGGGCGATGAGGCTGGAGGAGGCGAGGGCAGTTCAGGCACAGAGAGCAGTACTGTGAGCCTGAGAATGAACGATTGGCCGTCCTCAGAGAGATGTTTGACATGGGAGACCCCTGGGCCAGGCCGGCTATACAGAGATGGTTTTTCTGTCCAACAGGGCAGCTAGAAGCACTTTTCCCACATCTCCAGCCCCTCAGTAAAACTCACACCCGTTGCTGCAGCATCAACTGTATCTCAGGGCAACCTAAATGTGCAGAGGAGGGTTCTCAAAGCTGTGGCTTTGGGAAAGCAGGTCACCCGGCCTTTCTTTTGACGCACCTCTGAAACAGGTCCAAGCTGCCAAGCTTTCTGTTTGCAGTTGAGCACTTAACTGTTTGCATTCTCCAGGGGGTTCCCTAACTCTTTGGGCTCATCAAAGTCCCTTTGATCAGGAAGCAGTCAAAAGGCATGACCGAATCAGCACCCAGGTCCATCACTGGCCCTGAAGAAAAAGGCACTGTGAACGGGCCAGGTTTATGGGCTGGCATTTTGCACATGAGGGGAAAAGGAAATTATTCCGCTTCTGAGATGCCCTGCCCCCAGTTTGAAAGCTGGATACTTTGTACTCTGACAGAACCCCTTTACTCTTTTCACGGAAACCTACCTTTGCCTTTTGAAATCTGTAAGAGGGCTGGGGAGCCTTCCAACGCATTAAGGAGCCACACCTTGAATTTCTTACTAAATAACTGCACAGGTACTGAAAGGGAACATCTTCCAAAAAGGCATGCAGGAGAATGTCCTCGATTCCCTGCCAAGAAAGAGTCAAGACATCGTGAATCTGCTGCTCTCATTACAAGGGACCGAAGGGTCCGTGCGTCACACACCAAGATGCCTACAAACAGGTCCCTGACACAGGCCCCTACCTGGTCTGCAGGGCAGCCACCGCTCCGCCTGAACCGCTCGCTCGTTAGCATGGATGAAATCGGTCGATGGGGCCAGAGGTGAGTGTTTTCAAAGATGAAAAGATGACGGATCACTGATTCGAATGAAAAACAAATGATAGCATTCACCAGCTGGGAACAATTGTGGGGCCATGCCACCCTGGATAAGGGATTCATCTCTAAACGGTATCGAAAACGTCAAAAGCTCAACAAGAAAAAAGACAACCCAATGGGAATGTGGCCAGAGGACATGAGCAGACCACTCACCGAGAAGCCATCCAGGTGGCCAACAGAACGGGAAGAACCACTAGTGCTCATTATCCACTCCCTCTCTCACGCACACTCCCAGCCCTCGAGGGGTTCCCACTCATAGCGGCACTGTAGAACCAGGCAGAACTCCCCGCCATGGGTTTCCAGGACTGTAACTCTTTATGGGAGTAGAAAGCTTTGTCTTTCTCTTTCAGAGGACCAGTGATTTCGAACTGCTGACCTTGAGGTTAGCAGCCCAATGCGTAATCACTATACTACCAGGGCTCCCTTGCCGATCCTAATAACAAGGAGATGTCTTCTCATCCTAATATTGATAGCAAAGTTTAAGCAACCAGGGAACGACGGCGGCTGGAGAGACTGCTGTAAAGGGGCGTGCGCAGGCACCACAGCACCTGGTCAGCGCGTCCTTACAGAGGTGCGAGTTCAAATCCCATGTGCTCCGGCAACCCCAATGCTCAGCACACGTCCTGAGAAATCAGAGCCGCGACACAGATTGATAGATGCACACCCATCATCACATTGCTCACAACAACGAGGGACGGAAGCCACCTAAGTGCCCACCCGTGGGCGCGTTGTTGAGAAACAAACGATGGCTCATTCCCGGCAGGTTAGAAAAAGAAAAGGTTATTTCCTAAAAAATAAAACACAAGGTGAGGTTCCTGACTAGTTGAAGAAGGATGCATTTTTACTGTAGAATGAAGTATTCTTGACCTCTGTCCTCGCCTAGTAAAAGAATTACTTTTCAGTTAGTCCCTTAAGATTGGCAATCACATTGCTTCCAAAGCAGTTATTCCAACTACTCATTAAAAAATATATATAATTTTGCTGAAGTTGGTAAAGAAACACATTTCACATAATGGAGGGTCCACTGGTTCTGGATCCCACGGGCCAGCTGTGCGTTGGCATTTTCTTTGCCCGAGGTCAAACAGGCAGGCATTCTCTGGATTCAAAGAGAAAAGTTGGAAGATGGGTGGAAATCAAACGGCGCACGGTCCATCAACCCCACCATTGACTCTTCTGAGCACTTGATGTCCATCCACGGAGATTGCAGAGAGGAAGGGACGGGGCTGTGACCCCAGCATTTGGTATCAATTTCTTTAAAAAGGTTAGGGACCCGAGGTCGAAACAAACGTCTCCCTACTTTGTACAGCTGCACGTCATAGCATTTAAAGAGCTGGCACACATCAGGCAGAGGCATAAACACGATTGCATCTTGTTGCAGAGATTTCCAGAAGGAAGTCATCAAATCCCCCACCTGATGTCAATAACAGAACACATCGCCAAAGACTCCTTTTGTGTGCTTAGTGGGACTAATCCCCCATAGACGCTCGGTCAGCCCCAACTGAGAGTAGGATGCAATTTTGTTCCAACAGATAGAAAGAAAGCTCTTTGCCAGATCAGCTTTTCCCAGCTGTAATTTGCTAGTCTTCTTTCCTGGACACAAGAGTGCTTGTCCCGCAAGGGTGGGATCACGTGGTGGAACGTGTCTTCCTGAGGAACTCTGGGAGGCCACGTGGTTCTGGCCACAAGGGGGCCCCAGTTGATTATAATAGGATGCGGAGTGGACCACAGGGACCAGACAATAGCTTGGCGGCGCACTCCCTCAATCATCCTTCAGCTCGGAAAGATGTGTAACCGTACTTAATTCAAGAGGCCTTCTCTTGACATTAAGTTAGAATCCACCTAAGGATGGGTGGGATTCTACTCAGGAGCCTTCTGTAAAGATTATGGGAAGGTCTCTAGGAACCAACCAAATGGGACCTTTCTTTCTCCCTCTGCCCTGCTTTCCCATCATGCCTGCTACCCCATTCCCCATGTTGCCTTTTCAGATTCCCTTGTGAAATCGGGTGGCCAATCTGACTTTCCAGACAACAAAAGTGTTTGCCTCTGGGGAGTTTCAGCCCAGTTGTCTCTTCCCTGACACGAAACCCAGTTGTTGCCCGGTTGATTCTGACTCCTGGCAACTCCTTGTGGGCCGGTGTGGAACTGGGCTCCACGGCGTTTCCAATGGCCCATTTCTCAGAAGTGGGAAAGTAGAGCCCTCTTCTGACACATCTGTGAGTGGACTTGAACTGCCAACCCTTTGGTTAGCAGTTGAGTATATTAGTTATGTGCACCAAGCGAAGTACTTCTTGCTGACACTCAGCCAGATTATCTTATTTATAGGCCTATAATGTTCCTTTTATTACCAGGCTGTGAGCCTCTCAGGCCTGGTGAAGAATACCTCCTCAGTTTCAGAAATGGTACCAGTTTATAGAGGGTAAGGATTAACTCAATGTTTGAGGAGTGAGTGAAGAAAGGGGCGCGTCTGGCCCCCAAAGTGGATGGATATTTATAACATGCCATCAGTAGGGTAGGGGTCCTTCTGAATGCATTTTAGTGTTGCCTTCACTGTCATGCTGTACACTGAGAGCACTAGATGTACTCCTGCTGGGTGAATATTATCAGCAGAAGGTGGATCGTTCGCATTACAGCCCTGAGGAAAACAAACCACATCCCTATGTATTCCAGAGGAGAAACTTCAGAACTGTCAGAGGACTTATCCACGCTGCTCATGACCAATCACTCCTCAAGTCAGACCCCTGAAAGCCTTGCTTATCTTTTCAGTTAGCATTGACAATCAGGTGGCTCGTCAGCATTACCGGAAATTCCGAGGTAAATAATGTTAGCAATGCTTAATTTTAAAAAATAGCTGGAGTTGGAATCTCTAAAAGGTTGGCACTTTGATTTAAGACATCAAGTTATTATTATGAACACTTTGGAGACTTGCCGAATTCTTAAACGGAATACCTATATCACCTTCAAAATATTACAAAATAGCTGCGTGCCAAGTATTTCTGCCCCATGGATTGCTACTAGATGCCCCTTGAATGGGCCAGTAAGGAAATGGTCCATAATGAGGCAGAATTGCCTTTATTTTACGGATAAAACCTTACCCTCTCAAGATCTTGGTTCCTCACAATTTGTGAAATATCTTGACACTAATTGCAGTATTCATCCCCAAGAAAAGCCATCTAGGAAGGACATGGAAAATGAATCGGCTGTGGGTCATTTCCAGAAAGATCTTTCCCAAGCCCTCGGGGTTGCTCTCGTGGCCATTCTAGGAAGACAACAGCTGGGCTCTGCCGTTGGCCGCCGTGCATTTCACCGACCTAGTGTCGTGCGTGCCTTCCTGGCTTCCAGTGTGAGCAGCTTGAACTTCAAAGCTGTAACTCCGATGGTTCCAGCGTCTGCGCTACCTTCTACAAAGCCAGCAACACTGTTTTCTTTCTCCCTAAACCATCAACCCCAATTTTCTCCCTCATTTCTAGCCCTGGTTTCTAGAAAAATCCACCCATCTGTTCCCTTCTCTGTGAGGGCAGGGACTTTCTCTCCAGTGTGGGCCCCCACTGAGCATCTCTATAGGACGTGACCAGAAGGTCGGAGCGTTCTTACCACCACTGAACCCTGGAGGGCATGGTGGCTTCCACAGGCCTGGGAGAAGGCTGTGACCAAAAGCAGAATAAGAAGACATCTAATGTCCTATGGACCACATGGTATGAAAAGCTAATCTCCCCCGTGATTGCAAACCTACCATTTTACAGGAGTCTTTCTTTGCCAGCGTTTGCTCCCAAAATGGACATCTCCTGAGTTCAGACAAAGGGGATTCAACTGGGTCCGTCCTTACCAGTGAATGGGTTTCAAAATAGAAAGAATTCATGCAATGGATTATTTCCTTAAAGTTAAATGTTGTGAGTTTTTTTTTATTGCACATAAACCAAGTAGCAATCATATTGCTATCTATTATGGTAACGTTCCCTCCTTCTCTCCCTCCAAATGATGTCAACCTGCCTCTATGACTTGATAAACAATGGTCAGTAGAGGGGCCCTGGTGGAGCAGCAGTTAAAGCAGTTGGCTCTTAACCAACAGGTGCTGGGAAACGTTACTGTGGGGAATGCAGCCAGTGGCTGAAACAAAACACGTGTCACCAAACAAAACCTTCACTCCGTTCACAAGAGAGCGTTGACGATAACAACACTGTCTCTGTACAACATAAACAGTCTGAAATTCAAAGGGAAGCTATGACTCGGAACTGCTAAGGTTTTCCTCTGCTCTGCAAGAGAAGACAGTCAGCCAGTGGCAAAACAAGCGAGGTCGATTCTGGTTTGGGGAAATTTATTTAGCAGGAACCCCGCCAAAAAAAAGTGTGGGGGACGGGGAATTCTATTTCGATTTCCACCAAAAACAACACAAACGGACACAGAGCTGATGAACACCGACTCCCCGCTGACTCCTGGCAACCTCGAATGTGCAAAGTGGAGTCCCTCCCTGGAGGGTTTTCCTGGTTGTGACCAGTCAGAAGTGGACTGTCAGGCCTTTCTTCCAAAAAGCGTCCTTGGGTGGCTGGAGCTGTTGGGTAGTAATCAGGTACTTAACTCTTGGTCACGTACCTGAGGACTGCTTTCAGATTTCCCCGGTACTATTAAACACAGTATAGGATTTTCAGTGGACTCAAGAAATGCCATTCGGATGATTAACTCAAAGCCATTGCCATCAAGTCCACTCTGACTCAGAGCGACCCTGTAGGACAAAGTCGAACTGCCCGTGTGGGATTCTGAGACTCAACTCATCACAGGAGTAGAAAGCCGCATCATTCGCCCTTGGAGCAGCTGGTGATTTCAAACTGTTGACCTTGAAGGAAGCAGCCCAACTCGTAACTCACTGAGGTACCAAGGGCTCCTTTAGAAGGAATGATAACAATTCTAAAAGAAACCCTTAGATATATGACCATTAATTTCTTCAGCAAAGGTTTACTGAGTATCAACACGTGCCAGCGCCTGTGGATATAAGGGACAACTTCCTGCCGTCACCAGGCTCCTGCAGGTGCCATCTGCTTCCTCTGAATTACCCCATCGGTTCTCCTGGATGCCTTTCCTCCCTCCTGCATCCTGGAGAACACTGCTTTCAGAATGACTGTCCCAAAGCAAATGCGTCCTTTCTCTTTCTGCAGATTCATTGATGGTGTCCTATCGCCCCCTGGATTGAATCAAGATCGCCCAGCCTTTCCATCATCTGGACCTCTTCACCTCTCTCACCCAGAGATGGCTGCTTTTCAGCATCCCGCCCTCCCTCCCAGGTATACTGCAGGCCACTCCCTCAAGGTGAACATCCCCCTTCAGAGAGGAATCAAGGAGTTCTAGTGGGGCCGTGGCGGCAGGGGGTGGGTGGTGGTGTGGAGGCTGCTCACATTTCTTGGCTTTCGGCTACCCCACCCGCATCTTCAAAGCCAGTAACATTGGACTGCATGCATCTGCCTCGGGTTATCATGTGTCTGTGTAGGTGAGAAATTTTCTGTGATTTGAAGATGCCTGTAATTAAACTGAGCTTACCTGGAGAATCCAGGCTAGCCTTCCCATCTCAAGGTCTTTAGCTTAACACATCTATCAAGTCAGTTCCTGGAATTCACAGGTTCCTGGAATTCAGATATGGCTATCCTTGGGAACTGTTAGCTTGCTTACCACTCTACCCTGGAACTAGTCCTGGAAGGATTACTGGCCCCTCTTTTAAAAAAACCCAGTGCTGTTGAGTTGATTCCAACACATAACATTCCTACATAGGGGTTTCTGAGACTGCAAAGCTTTATAGGAGCCACCTGCCTCATCTTTTCCCCACGGTGGGTCCAAGCCATTAACCTTTCAGTGAACAGCCCAGTGCTTTACCCACTGCCCAACCAGTGCTCCTTTAGAAACAGGACAGGCTGGGCACCGGACTTGCCCGTAGAGCCTCTGGAGGAGGCACACGTCCTCCTGGCACCTTGATCTGGGGCAGGGAGACCTGTGTTCTGCAGCCTACAGAAACAGAAGAGTGGACATTTTCACAGTTTCCAGCCACGATTGTTGTAAAAAGAGCCACGGAGCCACTTCCAACTCATAGGACAGCAGAATGTAGCACTGCCAACCACCGTTGCTATGTTTGAACTCATTGGTGCAGCCGCTGTGTCCATCCAGCTGGTCTAGAGTCTTCCTCCTGTTCGCTGCCCCTCTACTTTGCCATGCCTGGTGTCCTTTCTAGAGACTGGTCTCTCCCTCCTGATAACATGCCCAACGTACATAAGGCAAACTCTTGCCCTCCTTGTGTCTAAGGAGCATTCTGGTGGAGTGTGTGATAACTTATTAAAGTAACAATTGAAAACTAATACATCACCGACTCGGAGTGACCTCATAGGACACAGTAGAGCTGCCCCTGGGGGTTTCCAAGACTATAAATCTTTACAGGAGTAGAAAGCCTCATCTTTCTCCCTTGGAATGGCTGGTGGTTTTGACCTGCTAGCCTTCCGGTTAACAGCCCAATGCATAACCACTATGCCACCAGGGCTGCCTGGAAAACTAATACCGCCTCCTCTAATCACCACCACTCTGGATCATCACCTCCTACTGTGAGTTACCAAGCTATGTATAGTCTACTTTGCCTATTCAACATTATACTAGTTGTTTTTTGTTCCCCACCAAGACACTGTATTTTATTCCCGTGTGTCACTGTTGCGGGCTGTTGGGTCAATTCCATCTCACAGCAACCCTATGTGCCAGGGTAGAACTGCCTTTGTGGGTTTCTGGGACAGTAAGGCTTCAGAGGAGCAGAAAACCTTCCTCCCAGGGAGCAGCTGGGGGGCTCAAACTGCTGACTTGGCAGTTTTCAGCCCATGTAACCCATTATGCCACCTGAAAAATGGGGTGTGGGACTTGATAACCATCCGGTAACTGTTTCCACATCATACTCTAGTTCAGAAGCGGACCGACAGAGTCAGACTCAGAGTCTTAATACAAACCCACTCTCATCTTCTCATCTTTTCTTTAAAACAAAAACCCCACTGCCACCAAGTTGATTCTGCCTCACAGCGAGCCTGCAGTACAGAGTGGAACTGCTTCATAGGGCGTCCAAGATGGTAAACCCTTATGGGAACAGATAGCCTCAGCCTTCTCTCACTCAACAGCGAGTGGATTTGAACCCAACAATTAACCTTCGGCACCACCAGGGATCCTTAATAGACGACTATGTCAATTGCAGGAGTCCTGGTGGCATAGTGGTTGAACGTTGGGCTGCTAATGGTAAAGTCAGCAGTTCAAAACCACCAGCTTCTCCATGGAGGAAAGGTGAGACTTTCTACTTCAGTAAGAGTTATACCTCGACTGGTGGGGTTTGATCAAGTGCAATGTAGCTGAGAGGAATTACTGAGAGCCAAATGAAGGTCAAACACGATAGTGGGACAAGAGGAAAGTAAAAGGAAACAGAAGAAAGAACTAGGACGCAAAAAACATTTATAGAGGTATATATATAGGCATATATATGTAAATATATTAATATATAACAATAGGGATATAGTTCTATGTACATATATTTATATGTTAAGTATTAAGGTAGCAGACAGACTTTGGGCCTCTACTCAAGTCCTCCTTCAATGCAAGAACACTTTGTTCTAATAACCTGGCATTCTGTGATGCTCACCTTCCTGACATGATCACTGAAGTCTAAATGGGTGCATAAGCAAATGTGTTGAAGAGAGTTGATGGTGTCTAGCTATTAGAAGATATAGCAACTGGCATCTTAAAGGCTTGAAGTTAAACAAGCGACCATCTAGCAGTGAAGCAACAAAGCCCACATGGAAGAAACACACCAGTCTGTGTGATCAGGAGGTGCTGACAGTATCAGGTATCAGTCATCAGAAGATCCCACACAAACAATCATATAGATGCGAATTGGGGTGGGGGTGGGGTTTGGCGTGGAGACCCAAAACCCATCTGTAGACATTTGGACATCCCCTCACAGAAGGGTCACAAGGAAGGGACGCGCCAGCCAGAGTGCTGTGTAGCACCGATGAAACACACAACATTCCTCTAGTTCTTTAATGCTTCCTCACCACCACTATCATGACCCCAGTTCTACGTTACAAATCCAGTTAGACCAGAGTTTGCACACTGGTACAGATAAGAGCTTTCAGCACATGGAATCCAGGACAGATAACCCCACAGGAACAATAATGGAAATAGTGATAATTTGAGGGTAGGGAGAAGGGGGGAGGAGGGGGAGAAAGGGGAAACTGAACACAATGATCGATGTATTAACACCCCTCCCTCAGGAGGGGGATGAACAATAGAAACAAGGGTGAACAGAGACAGCGGATGGTATAAGACATGAAAATAATAATAACTTATAATTTATCAAAGGTTCACAAGGGTGGGAGGGTGGGAGAGGGAGGGAAATAAGAGGAGCTGATATTAAGGGCTCAAGTAGAAAGAAAATGTTTAGAAAATGATGATGGCAACATAGGTATAAACGTGCTTGATATAATGGATGTATGGATTGTTATTAGAGCTGTAAGAGCCCCAATAAAATGATTTATTTTTTTTTAAAAGAGTTATACCCTTGGAAATCCATAGGGGCAGTTCTACCCTGTCCTTTAGGGTCACTAGGTGCGGGCAGCTATTAATGTGGTCAGCGCCAACAAGGTCTGTTCTCTTGGGTTGACAGCCTGCAATGGAGATAAGATGTTCTGCAAAGACTTGTGAAGATGCTGTGCGTGGTTGATGGTTGAAGTACATACATCACCTCATAGAATTATAGAAACATATGCCGTATATCAGGGAACCTATTGTGTTAGTCTAGGTAGACTAGAGAAACAAATTC